TCTGTTCCTATACTGGGCTAATGAAGACGGGCAGCGGCACTATCGCCGACTCTTATATCGAATTCCAACTGCCAAGGGATCTTTTACGTGCATTCCAATGTATACACGGGGCCTCGTTTTTTCGTTTCATCCGAAGGACTAGACAGCTGTCCTTGTCAGGCCCTCCGTCCTGCATCACTGACAAGGGTAAACCACGCCGGAAAATCGGGATGAACTTTCTCGGCCAATGCAGGGATCGAACACCCGACCTCCCCCGAAAGTGGACTAACATTTAAACACATTATGTACATAATATATATATATATATATATATATATATATATATCTTGGGTTGTTTTAGTCGGTCTGGTCGTTCTGTCCGGTTGAATGGCAGGGCGGTGCAACTCTTCCTTGGGACCTGTTGGTGAGTGTAAGGCCTGGTCCATTCTTCCTTCCATTTGGGTTTGTTGTCCGGTATGGTGGTATTGTTTTCATCCTTATTTCTGTTGTTCATTCCTTTTGTTATTGGTTCTCTGAAGGAAGAATTAAGTCCCTGAAAAGAAGGAGAGAGAAAAGAGAGTATCTGGTCTTACGGTGATTTTGGGTTTTATTTCGTCTAGTAAGGCTTCGGGGGGAGGGGGGTATGTAATAATAATAATATAAAAAAGATAAAGATACTTAATTTGATATAATAATAATAATAATAATAATAATAAAATATAAAAAAAGTAAGAAAATCAATTTGCATTTATGACAAGTTAATATAATTTACATTTACATTACACTAATTTTATTAGTGATGAAGGACGGGTGGCGCTTCCCTCTAGGGGACGTTTTTGCGCTCCGCCTACTTAGTGTATTTTAATTCATTAATTTCATCGTAGTTTTATTAGTAGTGTAGGGCGATTGGCGCTTCCCTCTAGGGGACGTTTTTGCGCTCCGCCTACTTAGTGTATTTTAATTCATTAATTTCATCGTAGTTTTATTAGTAGTGTAGGGCGATTGGCGCTTCCCTCTAGGGGACGTTTTTGCGTTTCGCCCTACTGAGTGTGTTTTAATTGATTGGTTTTATTATTATATCTGTTTGGTCATGCCTATATTTTCAGTGAAGTCCCAGACCAGCAGAGATGTCCGGTATCTATCTTCAAGCTGTGGAGAAAGGAAAGAGTTGAGACAGAGTGATTTTCCCCTCTCTCTATTAGTTTGTCAATCATTGATTGACGGTCATTGTTTAATTGATTGCAGTTGATTAGCAGGTGTGAGGTGCTTGCAATTTATTAACGCGGGCATTTAATTGGTGTATAGGTGTAGTCTTTGACTACGTTTATTGTTTTAAGCCTCGTGATGAGTTTTCATGTTTTGATAGAAGGGTGATTGATGTAAACCTTGTCTACAAAATTGCAATCTATTTGATAGCGATGAGTATTTTCTTGTTTTAGACGGACTTTCCATGCATTTCTAATCACTCTTTTGCTATGCTTGCTAATTCCTGACTGCTATATTCTAAATTTTCTAGTTCGTTTAGTGACAACCCCTAGTTTGTCGGCTTGTTCGTTGCCGAAAATATTGACGTGGGAGAGAGTCCATGCAAGGACTACCCCTCTCCCATTATTCTTGAATTTTTGATTTAGGTCCCCAACTTGATGGATTATGTCCTGCCGGCTTTTGGAGGAATTTGATTCTATGGATTTGATGCTACTCAAGGAGTCAGATAGGATTATGGCATTTTGGTATGTTTGCGTGTCTAGCCATTCCATTGCATTTTTGATGACCATCAGTTCTGCGGTGTACACAGAACAGTGTTCTGGTATCCTTTTCCCGATGTTTAGTTTTGCTTTGGGTATGAATAAGCCGTACCCTGTTGAACCCTGTGTATTGTTTTTTGATCCATCTGTGTAGATTTTGAGATGATCCGTCCATTTGGTGTCAATTAATTCTAATGCTAGTGCTATAGCCTCTATGGGATCAGCGCGTTTGTTTGTGACGTCACTTAAGTGCGTGTTAATGATAGGGTCGCTTATTTGCCAAGGTGGAGTGACGGGGTAGGTTTTTGTCTCAATAATTGTTCCTTTCAAACTGTGCTTGTTTAAGAAATCGTTTGACATTTGCCCGAATGTCATGGGAAAATGTATGTAGTAATATTAATATATTATATTAAAGGAAATAACTATACGATAACATAATGAATGATTTGTATCTCGTAGTCTAAAATTACCGATCAATAGTAATATCCATTTTATTGGTTTCATCATATATCTCAGATATGCCTGGCTAATTTTACTTTTTTACTCGACGAGTATTGCAATAAGGTCAACTGACACGGGCTGGGGCTTTCCGAGGAGTCAAGACACTAAAGTATCTTCAAATGCATTATAATGAACGATTAAAGCGATAACATACTGTCACTAATATTTGAGTAGAAATATACATCTCAAAAAAGGTGGCCGAATGGTTATCATAAGATCTGTCATTAGTCAACTGGCGTGGTTTCGATTCCCCTGTTGTACGTGACAAGGAGTAGGGTCGCCAGTCGAGTTCCTCCTACTACTAAAGAAACCTACGCGCAAGTGAATTAACGAAATAAATTGAACCATATGTTATCCCGAAATGACCTAGTTTGTGTCGAGTGGACGTTAAACCCAATTTTCTCTCCCTCTCTCAAAGAAGTTGCAGTGTATTTTACGTTCCATAACATCTGACCCCGGGAACGACTGCTTCATCTCCACGGCCGTCAACGTTGTTTATTAATAAATACATTAAATATATTCTCTTCCGACTAGTCTACCTAGTACAATGTATCACATCTTATCAAGATGGAGGAATTGGTGGGTCAGTAATATGTTTTATCAACAAAAACTAGATGTAACACTTTTACTATAATATACATGTATTACACGTTTACGATTTGGGTTTGTTACAAACATTTTGGCAAATATATGGGCCCTGCATACGGGCAGTGTCGGATTAATACGATATGGGGTCCTGGGGCACTTTATTAAACTGGAGATACCCCATCCCCACCAACTCCGAAATATATGTTGAGTTTATATTTAAATTGAGTTATATAAGATGTAATATTGATTTTCTTTTTTTTTATTTGATCACAGATTAAAAAGAAAGGGACGATCTTAAATCACTGAATCCTTAGTAATGTATGTCAAATAACAAATTGTTATGTACACTTCAGTCAAATGAGTTATTGGTTGAGATTTAGATCGTTTTAAATGCTATTATATTACATAAGCATACACAATTATAATATTACAATCAAAATATAAATAAAATAATAATAACAATACAATTAAATTCAGTTGAATATATTTTAGTTGATATTTGTTTATATTTATTAAGGGTCGGTCGTTTAAGACACGCCTAGGATCAATATGTTCCGACCCATTTTCATCTTGAAGCGAGAACCTGAACCAGAATGTCTTTTATACTCTCGTGTTCTTTTGACCGTTAAGCACATTTTGATTGAGTGCAAGCATCTCAAGGATGTTAGATCGCATTTTTACCGTTGTCAGTCATTACACCAATTATTTGCCAAACCGGGTCAAGATTGTAAAATACTGGACTTATTAAATATTAAAACGCGTATGATATTTGTCTATATATGCACATAACTTTATTGCTTTGGGGTATATTTTAGTCTGCCCCCTTTTTATACGTCCACAATGTGGACGTACGGGGAAATTTTTGACTGGGGGGGGGGGCGGTGGTGGTTGGTGCCCAAAAAATGTAGTTAGGTTCTTAGTATGTTACATAATAATAAAAATAATAATAATAATAACTTTATTTTCTTATAAAACAAAAATATACATATTAATAATATGTATATTTGTAGTTTTATAAGAAAATAAAGTTATTATTATTATTATTATTATTAGTTTTTACCAAATAAAAAAAAGTTTGATTTTTATTTGAAGGCCCATGACAGGTTCTATAATATCTCTTTTGCGATGAATAAGTGTAATATACACAACTAAAAACAGTTGTTTATGTAACTGTAACTCGTGGCTTACTGTACTCCAAACAATAGAGGGTTCGAGTCTTAAGATTTCTATTTAATTGCCTAACTATAGACATTCTGAATTTAAATTCGCTGTTAAATTGGACACATTCAAGAACACAATATTTTTTTTATACAACTTTTACAAAGTACAATTGTGTGCCCAAATTTTCCCAGCATTTGGGGCCCAAAATGGGGGGGGGCGCCCCCCCAGCCCCCCCAGCCCCCCAGCCCGTACGCCTATGTAGTACGTGGATATGCCGGTCGTCATATTACATCAGTATATGGCTATATGGCGTCATACTACTTTCAATGGGCTCATTTAACATTTTGATATTATATTGCTATGTGTTCATAATACATATAGGGTTTTAAACCAACCGTTAAGGATTTTCTTGTACATTGATCAGGCGAATGTAAGCCATTCAGGATTTTACGAATTTTTACCGCTGTCCGGTACGCAATATTTGGTAACCTGAGGGGATGTTATAAACGCAAAAATGCATAAAATGTTTTCTTGCAATTTTTTGATTGATTATATATCTTCAGTATGTGTAGATTCGGAAGCTGTATGATGTTACCCTGGCATCCTTGGAGATATTAAAATAACAGGTCTCCGGTTCGATCATGCTGGTTTTCGCCGAGTTAGTACCCCGGAATGTTCCAGTGTGGTTCCCCCTTCTCGATGATATAGTAATGGCAGATTACAGTGTCTTCCCGACCGAGTTCAAACTAAACACGAAGGTCCCGTGTAAATTTTGGCGTGCACGTCAAATAACCCGGGAAAATATTTCTCTCATTGGTCTTTAAACTCAATTTCATTTTATTACTGAAATCAAACCAGACTGAAACGCCCAAACGCAAACACTAATAGGCAGCCATCCCGACCGGGTTCAAACTAAAAACCAAGGTCCCGTGTACATAGGTCTTTAAATTCCATTCCATTTTATTACTGAAATCAAACCAGACTGAAACACCCAATCACAAACACTACTAGGCAGCCATCGTTATTTTTTTTTATTTCAGATTTGAAAGAAACATTTTATTTTTATTGAAATAGTTTATCTAAAGATATACAAATAATTTTAATTATTTTATTTTCATTTGTTTTATCCCAAATAAATTATTATGGGAAATTATTAAATTATTTAGCACTAATTTCGATTAATGTAACATTATATTAATGTACGTCCCGTTTATACATTAACGGACGTTTTACAGACAAGTCGGCCGTTGGTTTTATCGCATGGAGTATTCTTCCATTGGCCATTAGAAATAAAGAGTCTGGCACAATCTCCATCGGCGGCAACAGCACCCGTTCCTTGTCCAGAAGCCCATGGTGCGTACGTTGTAGTTTCTCCATCTTGCCACTCAAATTCATTACTTGCCGAACTGTACTTGTATGCTGAATAAAAATAATCGAGAAATTATTTCCAATGCCCAAAGAACCTTATATACACATATAGAGAGATTCTGGCGTATAGTACCTAGATCCGTTTCGGCACGGTATTTCGCCAATTTAAAAATATTTGGGCGTTTGGAGTTCATGTTAAACCCATCGTGATATATAATAATAAATTTTTATTCGTACATTAAGTACAATAAATATGAACAATAAATACATATATAAAAGTTTTCAATTAAACATACATTATGCAAGAGCTAAATCTGATTATTGCAAGTCTTTATTTAGGCTTCAGATGTCATAGAAATTTTAAATTAGATCTTTATTTACACAACAAGCACAAAATCAACTCTGTAGACCCACGGATGGCTTGGATTCGCTTGGATTTAAACAGGATTTCATTGATTGATTAAATTTTTAAATGGCGTGGTAAGCTGAGATTAACCGTTACGTTGACGTCATACTCCGGGAAATTTTAGATCGAGGCTGAATGATAGAGTGTACGAAGCGAGGCCGCTGTTGAGCGAAACCGCATATGTCGGTCAATTTGATTGAAAGTTCGATATATACGGCCTTGATATTATGTTTATTTGTGGTTAAAATGAGAGTTTCGATGTCGGTATTATACGCTCTTTTGTCACCTGCGTTTACAGAAAAATTATGGAAATTGATAAACATCGCAGCTAACATCACATCAGTTGAATTGCAGCCAATGCAGCCCCATTGGATCAATGTTTCCTATTTCAATTTGTCTGCTTCGGGAGTACACGCAGGCTAACAAGATTGAAGAAGTCGGCTATAATTATGCCTCATTGATTTGGTCCATTCCTTTAAAACTTTCGCTTCTTATCTATATAATAAAAGTCCTATTTTTAATTTGTAGTAAAAAGAAATGTGATACGAATTGAAAACGTTACTTGATAATCGAGATTATGTAGGTGGAGTTAACGCCTGTCAATCACTTACGTTCTAAATTGTATTTTGTTATATTATAATAATATTATAGTAATTGATATTGTTGCACATAGTAGATTGACTTCCCAACAACGCAGTACGTCCACATGAAGACATAAATTACTACTATGTATAATACTATGATAAAACGTTTATGAAGCTGAGTTTCAATTGACAAATCCTGACATATAATATTCACTAAACTATTGTGGGTTCTTGGGGAAATGTTGAATACTCTCCTAACCTGTTTTTCCTCAAACTATACATAAAAACTCTCTAATGACTTTTGCGAGAAATCCCATAGTTGACTCCCATACAGGGATTTTATCATTTCGTGTCAAATCTTTAAGCGGCTGTACTAGTTTCAAATATATTAGCATTCTATTGTTTGAATAAAATAAAATCAAGTACGAACAATCCAAACCATTAGACAAAATTCGAAGTCCTAAAAAAACAGTATAGACAAAATAGTGTAATCAGGCAAAATAGTGTAATCAGCATATGGACTGTTCAGCGTGTACAAAATACACAACAAACAGTGGTAACAGGTGTCCGGAAGAGTGCTTACCCTGCCTAGCGCCACATCCGCCATAGCTGCATCCAAACTATTAGGCGAAATCTCGGTAAAATAGCATGAATGGTCAATGGACTATCGATATGCAAAATGCACGCGATAAACAGACATACAGACATTATCAAGGAGATAGTATACGCGTCAATTAAATATATCTAGAATGATAGCCGAGAGAGACATGTTATATTTACCAATCAAGTCAATATGATGGCCATGAAACTTGAATATTCTACATCAAAACAATGCTTTTCACTCCATTTGTCTATAATTCAGATAATGGTTTTTTGTGGCGTCTTCGGTTTACACAAATGTTTGTTTTATTACAAGATCAAATTTAAGGCAAGTTTTAATATTTCTACTAACAAAACCGAACTTCATCCTTGTTCTGAAGTGATTGAAGTGTAGCTCTTTATATATGCATTTAGCCGGTTATATTAAGGAAATAACACAGTTCTTACCAAGTAATACGGCACCGTTCTTTTCTGGGTTATAGTCAGACACAAATGTTCTGACTGCTTCGTTTTCTTCCGCATTTTCGATGGAGAGAATTGACATGAATTCACTGAAATTAATTTTGAAAGCATATCTAAGAAACTATTCAATTTATTTAAACACGAATTCTATTTGGTTACAATATGTTTTATAATGCTTTGCAAATATTTAAATTAACTCTTTGTCGAAATATCGTCATCAGTATTGCCTATTATTTCACAATCCACTATCGCAACTTGAAATGACGGGAAAGTCGCGAAATAAAAGTAATCTGGTTGCAATACATAAAAATGTATAAGCTATGCAAATTTTTGAGAGGAATGAAAGGCAGAAGAGCGGAAATTATTCCAAGGAAATGAGCATTTTATGTTTATTGTTAGTCCACTATTCCGTGTAAGCACGACAGTATAAAACCTAAAAGGAATGTTAATTAGATTTTGAAGCACGACTGAATATACTAATTCGATAAACAAGATATAAAAAGATATTCAACTATTGCACATACACCACTAAAGCGACAGTCTTAAAGATATGTAAATAAAGATAATCTTTTTTGTAACAGCTTAACCAATATACAAGTACAAAGTATGCATTATTTGCTCGTGCCCGCTGCATTTGACGTCCGCTATGACTTGCATGACGAATCTTAAAACTCAAATTTCGGGTAAAATTGGGTACCTGTGTGTATTTAATTATGTATTGAATTATTATTGTGTACACATTTATAATGGATTGTGCATTGAACTTTGTAGTATTACTATATTTGCTCGGTTTAACAGAACTGAGAAAATTAATGTGATAAATTTGACTTACCCGCTACAAAACTCCTCAGCTTGTGTATACGATTTTACAGTTACATCCTCGAATAAATAACAGCTACTGCCGATATTTTTCCAACCTAAATACAAAATATGTGTAAATCAACCGCAATAGTAAACATTTAGTTGATGAAAGAGGCTATTCGTAACCACAGAAGGGTTATGTAAGGGTTGGGCAACTTTTAGTAGGACAAGGGCTAAGTTTAAGAATTTGGAGACCGATTAATATAAGCTTTACAGCTTGTTTCCCAATCCAAATAATTCATTATGTATTGTATATAGTATGTAATTATATGTTAAATAAATACTGTTGAAATCAAGTTTAACAATTTGGCGGATGATTTATATTATAGAGAATTCCCTATATTATAGAATACACATTTTGTACACAAGCATGCTTATTTCCGATAATATATATCAAACTGATATCTTTGATATAAACATATAGATGTATATACAGCTGTTAATGTTTTAAAATGATTACCTGTTCGGCAAGGTGTTGTGGCATAATCTGTAAATATTAATAAGCAGTTATTTAGTAGTAGCATTTAAAGTCATAAATTTCAGAATGGTACCGATCTTCCGAACGTAACAATAACAATATTTTACAAACATTATTCAATTGACATCCCATACCCATATTCTTATTTTTAAAATGACAACATTTCAGATTCATATTCTTATCAAACGGACACAAGTATTACGAGTTTAAACAATTTCACTAGTCACTGACTTATCGGCCCTTGCCGCAAGAGGGAAGTGTCCAAAATGTATTGTCTAAAACACTGGAGGACAGTAATTAGATAATGCCTAATGGGGAGCAAGCTGTGTCATTTGTTAGTGAGATACCCTCCTAAGTTAAAAAAAAATAGAAGTTTATGTTCTTTGTCAATAGGACCCCACCCTCCCCACTCATAGTGGAAGCAATACTTACAGCTATAGGCAAGAAGGTAATTTAGAGGAAAGTATACTATTACCGATAACCAATTCTGAATCCTAATTTAGTTTGAAAAATTGATTATTCAATCTAATACACATAAATTCCTTATGGTCATCGTTGAGTTTATGAAACATTTTCGACATCTGTTAGAATTCTCCAAGGAATTGGTATCATTTGTCATCTGTATATCAATGAAATATAACTTGCTTTCGAACAATATCACCCAAGTCAATTAAAATAGGGCCAAGGACTGAACCTTGCCGTACACCATATTGTAAAACCTAATTCAGAAAGACAATGACTATTTACAACAATACCCTGTGTCCTTTTAATAAAATAACCTCTAAAGGTTTCGGTACTCAAAACTAAGTCCAAGACGGTTTAATTGAATATAATTGTCAATGGTATCAAAAGCTGCAGCAGAATACAATAACATCAAAGACAAACTTTCTCGTGTCTATTCATGACTTTGTTAAACATCTGACACCAATGTTCTTATCATGTCTCCATATTTCTTCTTTTCTTACTGTTTATATAGTTATATGCAAGTAGACTTACCGAAAAGACAAATAGCTCCATTTTTGTTGCCTGACGTCTTGCTTATTGGGTTATAATAATTGTTGAACTGCATCTCTAAAAAACATTTTGGTAAAATAATATAAAGATCCAGCAATAATTAATCAGCTATGGTACAGTATTTATTTTAACGTTATGTCACCAAGAAAAATATTTTTGTGACACAGAATATTAGTGGAAGTACACAACTTAAGGCTTAACCATGGGGGGAAGCATTCGCAATTATCTGCACAGGATACAAATTCTTATTCCTAATAGATATTTCTACCAGTAATAGCAGTATCACAACAGCAGTAAAATACACCGAAAAGTACTTCTGGCAATAGTGAAACAGTAGCAAAGTAACAGAAGGCCTTGCTACATCGGAAATATCATAGTTAAAAAGGGAGCCGCGGTGGCTCAGTAAGGCGTTGGCTCGTTAACATGGAGCCCCCCAGGTTCCATCCCCGGTGTTGGCCGAGAAAGTCCATGGGATTTTTCGGCGTGGTGCCCCCCTTGACGTTCTGGTAAATTAACATTGAGTGTTGGACTTCCAAATAAGAGTAGTCTGTAGCGTTGCTGTCCAGGCGAAATTTTCTCTTTAGTACATTACAAGGTGTATACAATCCTCCATTAGTTTAAATGTCTACATACCCATGAAAGTTTTCGCACTGTCACCTACTTCATCAACCCAATAATCTTTCTTTGTTTCTCCAAATCTATAAATATGATTTCTTATTTCACGCTGCAAACATTCAAAGACAATAAATATATTTAAAAGTGGAAAGAGTTATTTTTATCAAATTTTATAGTTGATAAATTCTTGGATTACGATAAACAATTTCACCAGTTTAAACCCCGATAAAATGCCCCGTAAGAAAAGACTGGTTCAACTTGAAATATTTAAGCGTAATCTATGCTACTTACTTGGCTGTCAAGATCGGGTATTGGTGCCAAAATTCCTCCCATTCTGTAGCAGAGATATTTCGATTTGATATAACTGTCAAACTTGTTGATTACAGCATAACATTTCCCTCCACTTCCTATACGATATCCGGCATTATTTGTTCCACATGGTTGTGGCACTGGAAATATAAGAATAAAACAATTTGTTTAATGAAAATAATCTAAAATCTACTTCTCCGATCTACAAACTTCCAATTACGTGTATCCTGGGTGTATCTTTAAATGAAATACTAGTATCCCGGATGTTTCGATGTCTCTTTAGATGAAATACTAGTATCCTGGGTATATCTTTAGATGAAATACTAGTATCCCGGATGTTTCGATGTATCTTTTAATCACATATTGTACTTAAGATCACAGATATGAGAAGATGTGCCAATTATTTTAACCACCTCACCAACCTACCTTTGTCAGAATCAAATGTGTGACAAGTCTGCGTCAGCTCAGGAGCTGTAATCAGCAGTTCCGCTGGATCAACAGCACCACGTCCCTGTAAAAATACGTCTTCAAATGACTAAATATTTATAAATTTCTATAAAGAATGCTTTCACAAATGTTATCGCAATATTAAAACTGTATTGCTGTATCTGTAAGCATATTACATATTGATTAATCACGTGGGTAGTCAATTTAAATTTGGAAACTTTTGTAATGAAGACAGGCATGCGCCATGAGGTAAATTATACCGGTGCATTACCACTGTCAGGGATTCTCTATGCCAATCAGCGCACAAGTGTCGAGTGGACCTCGGTTTTGCGTCCCCATCCGAACGAAAAGACGATGTTACTTTCCAGGTCCGCCCATCCTCCGCCTATGACAAGTGGTAAGTAGGCTGAAATATCATGAGACCATACACCCTTTGAATTTACAATCTTCCTCATTCTTCAATGTGGTATTCAAAATGACACCAAATTCGTAAAAAAACACAACTTTTAAGATACACTCTAAATAACGTTTCAATAATGGGTGTAAAATATACGTCAGACATTAGCAACTTTTTGCCAGTAGTCGATTGTGGAAGAAATAAAATGGGTAATTACATCAATCTCAGCTGGTACACAAGGTGTTGATGGCGGAGTTATTGGATCCTGAAATAAACAACATTAATTTTGTTATTAAAAACTTTACTAAAGTAGTAAAGAACTGGACCGACGATTGGACCACAGGATAGTGTAACTGGTTTATGCAGCTGCTTTGACATTGTGTATCTTTGTATATTTGGACGGTGAAGCTAGGGTACTCTTGCAAATAAAATGGGGGTTTAACGTTTTACTGTTTTGCTCTGGCTGGGCTAATGACGACGGACATACACCAACAGTGTGCTGTGAGGGAAATGTTGCTCGGACTGCGGCGCTTCGGCCTACTCTTATATCGAATTCCAACTGTTCCGGGATCTTTTACACGTGTACTCCAATGTGTACACGGATCCTCGTTTTTTGTCCCATCCGAAGGACTAGAAAGCTGTCCTTGTCAGGCCCGACATCCTGCACCACTGACAAGGGGAAACCATGCTTGAAAATCCTGATGAACTTTCTCGGTCAACACCGAGAGTGAACCCGCGACCTCCAGAATAGCGAGCCAGCGTCTTACTCACTTAGCCATCGTGGCTCTTAGAATAGTCTTGCGTACTTCCTGTTTGACCGTTGTGATGCATAATAGTGTCACATCGTTTGTTTGGAGCTGTACGATAGTATTAGGTGTTTACATAATTAAAATTACCGGCGATTGGGGAGTAACTTTATACGGTCCATTGACGTAGGCGTCTTGGAAACAATCTATAGGATCGGTACCACCATCATTACGTTTAATTCGTATGCTTGGACATTTGGAACCAGGACACTCTTCGTCGGAATTTTGTCTTGCTTCTGTTCCATCAAATCGGAGGAAAAATAACCTGAAATATTGTATGAAACATTGTGAATATTAGTATTAAAGTTCCGCTTCCAGTTTTTTAATTTGTAATGTTACTGGCCAAAATGTAGTTCGAAATATATTAATTTGCCTTAAAACAGGTAGGTATGGACATAAAACTGCTTTTAGAATTTTCAACTCCCTAATTTAGTGTACCACTGCTGCGACTTACCGGATGATGCATTCTGTAATGCCACCGTCCGACCGGGGGGGGGGGGGGGTTATTGCGCTGCTGCGACTGTACGACGAACATTATATGCACATGGGTCGATGGCAAATGTGAGAACATCGCGAGAAAATGTCCCCAAAAATTACAAACTTGAAAAAATGTCGCGTTCTACATCTTTCTTGGAACAGATCGTAGAACCTTGGTGTTTCTTTAGAACATGCTCAAAACAAACGCCGTTTGTGTTACATGAGGATTCGGTTGCTTTGGTGTACCAACTATAGCCGAGGTTGGGCTATTTGATTTTTTTTTCAACTGCCCCAATTAAAATATTTTTTAACCTTATATATTGCCGGAAATAGCAAATTCCCTCGATTATTTTAAAGGGTGTTCACACGTTAATACGGCTTGTTCAATAATTAGTGGATGTTCCATGAAGAAGAGGGTGGAACCAGGACGCGATTATTTCATGTATTTGGTTACCCAAATCCGTATATCTATTTCCTCTCCCCCCCCCCCCCCCGTTTGCATTGCGGTTTTTGTTGACTACATTGGATACGTTGAAATGTAGGGCGGATAATTGTAAGTTTTTTAAGAATCCTACTTTCACATTATAAGCCCCATAGATGCGCTTGAGTGTCCACATGTTTCTCCATCTGTGGTAGAATTGAAATCTTTCAAACTATCAGAGATTTGATTTAAATGTTAGTGCCGGTCAAACAAACCAGAATTACTATCAGAGCAATGAGGGAACTAATCGTCTATTGTGACCGGATATCTAAACGGTTTTATTTACACGGGAAGTGACGTCAATTAAAATTTAAATTATTCTAAAAGTCGAGATAGTTATTTTAACAGTTTTTAAGTTAACCTATACTACACACTGAAAGTAAATATATATGCCCTTTAGTCTAATCTATGACAATTGTTCATATAAGTACATACCCGCGAGAATTATCCCAGAAATAAGCTCTACCGGTTGTATCTGCCTCAAGGTCCGACATACTGTCAACAGATATTGGGAGATTGTTGCTATTAATTGTAGGGTTGCTTCCAGTTATAGTAAAATCGGTAGTTCCTTTTGGAAAACAAAGTGCCAGGCGAATATATGATCCACTGAAATAACAATCAGATATGGGAATTTAAAAATATGTTAAAAGTAAAGTATCGATGTAAATATAATGCTATGAGCCCCAGTCTATTAAAAGAAGTACAAAATGAAATGGAATGGGGTTTAACGTCATACTGTTCTGTCTCAACTAGGCTAATGAAGCCGGGCATAGTCATACCGTGTGCTGTGGTGAAATCTTTCTATAATATATTGAAACATTTTGGCCGAAAAACAACAAAATGGCTATCAATGAATAACAAACATCGGCCAATATATGACACGGCACGGCACACATGTGGCAGTTTAATTTATCGTTGTAAAGTTATTAAAAAGATTTGCCGTGAAGTTATATATTGTGGTTTTATTCTTAAATTGGGCTACCTCCCATAGTTCAGTACACAATAAGAGCACTCTTAGTCTGTAAGACAATCTAGCCAAGAAGTGCAGTTTTGTTTGTTGCTCCCCTCACAGATTTTAACGATTGTTGTCTCCTCCACTGCTTGTGTAGCTGTTGTGCTAAACATTATCTTAGTGTCCGAAGGTGATTACAAGTTTGTGTAGGCCTACTGGTTGATTCGTGAACGTGACCCCCCCCCCCCCGCCACTAGAGACACAAGATGCTAAGGCATCCGCATGAATACATAACAACAATAGTACTTACATTGCTAAATTATTGACTTTCACGGTTACATCAGTTGGATTGGTACCATTAAACATAGCAACATAGCCTTTGTTTTGCATAGACAGATACTCTATACTTTTGTCACCTGATTAAAAAAACATATTGTAGGTTTATTAAAACAATCGGTCATCACGTGTGCGAGGATTTCTTAACGGGGGTGGGGGAAGTATCAACGGAAATATGAGGAATATCATTTCTCGTGACCCCAATTCTTCAGACTAATTTGGAAAAACATCCATATTAAACTGTGTTCTCTATCGCCTTCATAAACCAACTGTTGACGGATCGACGGGCCGAAAAGGTGATGGCATGATAAGATACTCAAATATGGGCGTATACAAGTGTTGGTCTTTTAGCAATAAGAAAGGGTATGTCATAAGTTTTATTTATTGCTTTAGTCAGACAAAAATGAAATGAAATGGGGTTTAACGTCCTACTGTTCTGCTACGACTGGGCTAATGAATTGTGCTATGGGGGGAAATTTTAACCTGGCAGCGACACTGTGTCCTACTCTTATATCGAATTCCAACTGTTAGGGGATCTTTTACGTTGGAGAAATCCAAATGAACTTTTTTGGCCAAAGCAGGAATCGAACACGCGACCTCTATGCTAGCGATCCAGCATCTTACCCACCCAGCTACCGTGGCTCCTAGTCAAGACAATATTCTACTTACAAAACACAAAGCTTTCTTACCACGTATAGCAAACGGACTGTCAGTTACGTCATCTCTCACCATATACATTGGATAATCAGTGCGTTTTGGCGACTTGAATATCCCATCGGAACCTTTAAATATTATCTGAATAATTTTGAATACATGAAATTTAATGTAACAATATCAAAATGGTTATCTGTGATATTTTTTTAATTGAAAGAGGCTATTCGAAACCGCACTAGGGTTTATTTCGGGTTAGACTGACATATGATAGTATGGCAACACTTAATTTCACCCTAGTTCAGAAAGCAATGTCTTTTCGGGCATAAATATTCTTTATACCTAAAAGATCTCATACCAAGGTCACACATGCTGCTGCGTAGCCCCACAGTTTGTAGGTTCTATACTTGTTTTCATTCATTCATTAATTCATTGAACCCTTACCTTTGAATATTCATGAGGACAAACAGACATCTGATAATTTTGGTTATAGTAACAATCATAATCCAAGAAAAATGGGGTTTTTCTCACTAACTGTACGTTTGCTATACCAGAGATAGAACCATCATAATCTCTAATACTTGCTTGAAGATCGCCATCTTTTGGTTGATCGAAGAATGGCAGAGAACTATTTCCTGCAAACACTTTTAGTCCGTCAACCTGTAACAACAAATTATCCACACTGATCAGCAGTGGATATTCGCTACTTATAGAGCGGGAGCCCAGGGGGTTAACCTAGCTGAAAAATGTACCAAGTTTCTCCTATATGGTATCAATGTATGTATATCTGGTATCATCAGAATGTAAGTCTGCCGGGTTTCTGGTGGTGGGTGTGGTATTCCACGCCCAAAATGCCATGCCCCCCAACTTGTCTAGATTAGCTCAAAAGTGTACCACATAAAAATCGCACAGCAAGGTACCGTACATCTTCAGGTATTACAAGAACACTCTGACAGACATTTCTAGTGGAGCTATGTAATTGCCAGACATTTGTATTGATGAAGTATCCCTGACAAGAGTTATCTAATTTCCAGCCCAAAGCTAGGCTAGATTAGCTCAAATCTGTACCACCTAAAACAGCTTTGGAGTTGTTCAGTACCACGAGAGGAATCATGAATGACCACTGCCAGACAGTTTGTGCGGTGGGTTATCCCTAATAGACACGCCCTCCAACTAGGATAGATTAGCCGGCACTGTTCCCGTGGTCCAAAAATTTAAAAATTGTGCCAGGATGCGTAGATTACTAATACCTAGCACGCATTGAAGAGAAGATAAACTCGTCCATTAATCATATAAATAACACGCAAGACTAAAGCAAAAACAGTTAGACCAAGAACGGGTACGCAACATTTGTACTTCAACCATTTTAATTTAACGCTTCAGGAATCTCTTTATGAGTTCCCTCATCTTCATGTACCCTGTCGGGGCAGAACAGTAGGACGTTAAACACCATTTCATTTCATTATATCTATCTATCTATATATATATTTGTGACTGTCGTTTGTCTGTCTGTCTGTTCGGGGTTGGCGGCTACACTAGGTCTGCCCCGAGTCTGAAATTTGGGATTTTGAGGTAGCTCGGACCGGGGAGTAACATAGGCCAGGTGGCGTTAGTCTACCACTTTCGGTTTCGGAGTTATGACCCCCGAGCGAAGCCGGTCTGTTTGAGGTTGGCGGCTACACTAGGTCTGCCCCGAGTCTGAAATTTGGGGTATAGGGGTAGCTCGGACCGGGGAGTAACATAGGCCAGGTGGCGTTAGTCTACCACTTCCGGTTTCGGAGTCATTACCCCCGAGCGAAGCCGGGCATCCTGCTAGTAAGTTAATATTTTAAAATTAAGTTTAACTCTTCACGAGGTTCTTTATGAGTTCCCATTTTCATTAGCCCAGTCGGAACAGAAAAATAGGACGTTATAACCCATTTCATTTCACTATGAGTTAATATATATTAATTATACGATCGTGTTTCCTCTAAAGATCTCCATTCCCAAACCTGATTTTGTATTTATCAAACTGACTATAAACACGTATAACTCAGCATTTCCATGAAATGAAATGAGGTTTAACGTACAACTTTTCTGACAGACATACCGTGTCACAGAATCCAAAAACAGCTCCTTCTACACCATTCTGTGGTAGGGACGGGTAGGGGAAATTTGTATTAAATCCCAGCGCTGCTGCTCGTCTTGTGGCATCTAAACCATATTCTGTCTCCCACGTACTATTCCACGTCCAATGATTAAACTTATCAAAATATGTGTTCTTCACGAGAATAATCCCGAAAAAGAATTCGACACCAACCAATGGTAAATTACTGTAAATATAAATATACATTTTAGTAAGGATATGTAAATAAAATGAACAGTTACGAAAATCGTCATTAAGTAGATTTTTTCTTAATTCCCATTTTAACCTGGTTTTAACCCCATACAGGATCAAATCACCACTCTCTTCATCCTTTTCGTTTCTTCTCTGGTTGACAGTTTCTGTGTGAACGAAACGATTTTTTGTTTCATTAGTAAAGAAATATTAACAAGCCATCGCAATAATTTTGTAAAAACGGAAATTGTCATTATAATCGTTCTACTTACGGCAAGGGGCGTGAAAAAGAACGTTCGAAGTTATGTGTTTGTCCATCCTTTTTATACTTTAATGGCAATCCAAGATTATCTGTTTCGCCAATAATAACACTGTTTCGTATTTCTTGTGCAGTGTCCAATATACTTCTTGTCATAGCAACTCCAATTGGGGCATCTGCAATACTATATAAACAAAACTTAACATTACTTTGCAGTCTATGATCGCCCCCCCCCACCCAAAAAATGGATCTTACATATAAAGAAACAAATTACAAGCCACCCCACAGGAAACGTAATGGCCTTGATTGATTTTTTTTAATTATACCCATATAATGTCACATCAGTTAATAGAATCAAAGACATTCTATGGAATTCACTAAATGGCAATGCTATCCAGGCGAAACTTTAAAAAAAATTCTCAATCCCGATGTAGAATAAATTAATTCTGAATAGATAATATTAATGTGATCTGATCTAATTAAATAATAAAGTTGTCTTCCTTTCAAGTATGAGATTCTAATTATGATTCACGATCCAAAAATATTTCCAATCTGGCTGCAATCTTCTCACAAGAACGTAGCCCACACGTCCATTGCAGGATTTTATAATGCCATCGATTCATAATAACACATTAACATACTAATTTATATTTGTAACTCTTGAGGTTGACGACATCGTTGCTAAATCTACTGGCTAGTAAGAAAAGGTGAACATTTGGTTCTTTTAATCATATTTCTTGATCATCCAACTTCATTTTATGTGTCTACTTTTACCGCGCGTAAGGAATAATATGTGTGTGTGTTATACGGATGACCATTTAATTAAACTCGAAGAATTATGTCTTTAATTTGTTATTTAGTGAGAATGTTTATTTTGTTTTAAATGATCTAAACCTGTAATCCAATACTATACTATATTGGTTCATTTCAATCAATATTGATGTAGCCATCTTACATTGGAAACATTGGATAATTTTAAAATTAGTACATGATGCCATGTATTTTATGGATTTGTAATGAATATATTCCACAATTAAGACAATTCGGAAGTAATTTAAAATTTTCATATATTTTAAGGTCCCAAACAATAGCGCTATACGCTGTTTAATGATTATAAGCATGATAGAATTACTTACCTTGCGTGATCGTAGACAATTTTACCTCCCTTTGACCAAATATTTTCTCCCCTGTTCCTATAAACTGTTGGCCTGAAAGAAAGACATGTTGTCATTCGAACCCAGACATCAAAGCCACACATGTCTCCTTAATCCCACCTAAACTTCTGTCAATAACGTTAAATAGGCCTTTTCCCTGGCAACATATGTGTATTTGGAACATAAATACTCAAATAACGGGGACGAGTTTGACAAATTTGACATAATGCCTACACGTAATCAACCAGGCATTGTGCAACTGGGAAAAATGTACATGCTTGAAGCATATGTTTAAACGTAATACTGATGATTATCTAAATGAATTATCCGGTTTATGGTAAGTGACTCGGGGTATAAATTTAGTAAAATTAAGAATAAATCGTGCAAGATAGGCTCAACGAAGACTGACAACATTTCCATTATTATAACGGTTTTAAGGATAACTGGTCGAGTTTTAAAACTCATATCACATCTATTTTATTAATAAAGTCTAATGCTTTCTATTGTCTAAACCAGTCCCGCCATGTCTTCCTAATTGTGCCGAGGAATTTTGAACGGCACACTAAGAAAATGCGAAAAACCTCGTGATCCCATGTTTTTATTTTGCAAAATTCAAATATTTTTCATATGTATTTAGTCAGGTGTGCCGCTATAATTTCTTGTGTTCCAAGGTGTGCCGTTGGCAAAAAAAGGTTGAGAACGGTTCTCATAATGGTCTACATAATGTTAATGATTAGTGGTTTTTGTTTTTTATTATGAATGTCATAGATGAAGATTTCCCGTACATTTTTTCATGAAAATGTTTTTGTCCAATAGATGATGAATGTCAGAATGTGGAAATTTCTGATTTGAGCTATAATAGTAATTTTACATTTGGATCAAACTTCGGGACCCTGTTAATGAGTCAGCGCCTTACTCACAAAGCCATCGTGACCACCACACCCCCGAGGGAAGTGTTGAGTTCAGTGATTTGTGTACAAACGACCTCCAATAATCAGCTACATGTATCAGTTTTTTTATTTGGCCTGTTTCTTATCAGAAACATGTCCAATACCTTTTAATAATGCTTTCAGCTCGTGGTGATTTTTTATCTGGTTCCTCTCTGGGATCGTATCTGCTATTGGCAATAAGTCCATTCTCTGGTACCACTTCGTCAGTAATGCCATCGACTTGTCCATTAGATATCATCCTATCAAACATTATACCACGCTGTAAAACATAGGCTATTACATGTAAACATAGGCTTTTATATGTAAACCTTTTACATAACCTCTATCAAACATCATAACACACTGTAAATTATAGACTATTACGGATAAACACAGGCTGTTTACAGGTAAACATAGAGGTAAAAACTAATGGTCTTACATGTAAACATCTGCTATTACATGTAAACCTCTTACATAGCAGCATATCAAACATCATAACACACTGTAAAATATAGACTGTTACGGATACACATAGGCTACAGTGGGGGTATAATGTTCAAATCTAAAGGATTTCAATAATTCCACAAAACTTACATCTTTGTTTGAATGCGCAACATTTCGATCAAACAGCGCAATTTTAGACAGTCGTGCATGATCTTCAAACACCAGTCCTCGTTCTGCTTGACGTGCAGCTGATATTGTTAGAGGCTTTTTAGCAAAAAGTATATGAAAACCATTTCTCTAGAAACAAAAAAAGGTTAATCCAATTAAGCAAAGTCATTTTTTTTTCGAGCTTTAACCTGTGCGCAGTGCACCAAGTTTTCATTTTATTGGGAAACAAAAGCCACTTCGGGTTAATCCCAATATGAATCAATTATTCAGACCGTCAGATTGTATATTATTTAGAGTAACTGATGAGCAAAAATTAACTGATATTGTAACGAAACACGAAAATACTTAATTCTGATTATACTTAAATAATATCTAATTATTTTACTTAGCAATCTTGTGTAGTATAAATAAATAATATTCACCTCAGCACCGGCTGCAACATTATTTGTTATTATGTTGTTGGGATGTGTTATCCAGTAGGTAGCTGGATGACTGGAAATAATGTACTATCCAATATTACTGTTGTTTAATATAATTAATGAAAATCTATCTAACTGTTTTATTAAGCACATGAGCGGGCTATATTGATAATAGATAACCATATCCTTATCCCTGGACCACTCAGCACACTTCTCATATTTACTATTTCCCATAATTCATTCTCGAATACCAGTAAAGACAATTTAATTGTTTACGTGATTTGAACACAGAAAATGTCAGATGCTAATGGCGTATGAAAATGAAATGAAACGGGGCTTGGCGACCTACTTTTCTGTCTCGACTGGGCTATTGAAGACGGGCAAAAATTGTGCACTGTGCTACGAGGGAAATTTTACCCGGACACTGGAACTATGGCTAACTTTTATATCGATGTCCAACTGTTAATTTCAAACAGATCAGACACAAGTTTCAAAACGTAGAGTAGCCTAACCCATACGTACAGTATTGTTATACCATAACACTTTTAAACAAGATAGCGAATCAACTTGCAGTATTATTTAAATACGCAAATGCTTGTATTAGCTAATAAGGTACACATCTATAAAAAAAAGACCGAAATTACTCTGCTGGTAGCCCTTTGGCACCATTGATATACAATGTAACCAATAGCTTCGGAAACTAATATCCTGGTTTTAATCTTACTCGAGTTAGCTATAATTAGTGGCGAGTGTCAAACACCCAACTGGATATGGTTGCTCATTTTTACAACACCCGATGCATCTCTCATTTAGGTAATTTACAAAGATAACAAGGTGTACTATTTATATTATTTGTAGCTAACCTTGTAGGAAGAAATACATATCTCTTTTGCTATTTATCTATTTTAATTATCTTGGTTGTAACCCTATATATATATAATCAAATATATTTAAAGTTTGGCATTCAACAGGGTTCAGTACTTGGTCTTCGCCTTTTTAGTATTTACACATCTCCCTTATATGTTCGTTCATATATATGAGGATATTACCACATATATATGAGGATATTACCACAAGCGGTATATCATACCATAGAATAAGGGGTTTTAAAAATACTGACCCAACTTGTCGCACAGTGGACAATTCAAATAGTTTCTAGAAAGCACAGGTGATATTTATCCAGTTTAATTAATCGATTAGCATTAGGTTAGATACGTTTAGGATCGTCACCGACAAAGTTTTCGTTATTTACAAACAACAGCACAAGCAAAAACATAAAATTAATCATTACTTGCATGAACTTTCTAAACCCTCAGGACACCACTCTGGGGCCATATCTGTCAACAATTGTGTTCCATATTGAGTTCCTACACCCAGATTACCATCTAAGATGTTTCGCTGTTCAGCACTGTCCTCGAGGAAATATCCATGACCAAGATGATCATAGCATACATTGTCGCTTAACTAATAAGAAAGAAATAATATTCTGATATAGTTTTTCTTCAATCGACTTCTATTACATAATATGTTAAATTATTTACATACAGAGCTAGTTCAGATAGTTTAATACCATCGAATATAGTAAATTAAAACTTTTTACCTCGGCACCATCTGTACCGTGTATAGTAATACAACGATTATTACTATCGTGGATACTGGTATTACGTAAATAGGATGTATCTACGTCATCACACATATGATAATGGAGAGGGTAGGTCCCTGCAATAAAGTCAAAGACATGGGCTTTGAAAAGAATGCTCGTGGATACCTAAAATGTGTCTTCGTGTTACATTATGTTTCATTGTAGTTAAAGGAGCTAAACTAAAAATTGAGTATTATCCATAACATTCTAAAATCTAATATCCACTATTTACATACTGGTTTTGGGCACCATTTTTGTAATGAACAAAATAAAACATACCCCACAAGACAATGTGAAATTGATTAAATATGGCTGTTTCACGAACGACACAATTATAAAAAAAATGTATGTACAATGAACCCAGCAAGCTCTAACGATTACCCTTTAATTTGAATTGTACACGTATTTCACCGAACATAATTATTACAATAAAGTGCGTTTTTAGACCCCCGCCCCCTCGTCTATTTTGAGACTCCAATGAATAGAGCTTCGCCCTTCAAAGAATTGTTTTATCATACTTAAATAGACGTGTCTTCGTTTTAACTCGAATGCATTCAATCAATTTAGGGATATATAAACCAAAGAGTACCCAGTGATGATGGATACAGGCGCAACACCACAACAGGTCTGATCTTTATGGAAAAAAAAGAAGAAGAAAACACCTACCAGTTAAAAGTTGTTGTCCCATATGATACAACTCAAGGCCTTCAACATGAACAGACTTAAAGCCTCTTACAAACTAAAACATTATTGTTAAAAATATTGCTATTGACCGTCAAAGTTATGACTAAAAAGTGCCTAAAGTATTAATTCCCAAATATTGTATTATTCCAATTTATAAAATCTTATTGGCATAATTGTCTCAGTTATCTATTTAATAATTAATTTGATCTTTAATATAATTTTATCAGTTTAAATTGATCTTGTGTATCAATAACTGATTTCAATTTGTGTAGCCTCGGTAAATGTTATTCCAGTTGGTTTGGGGAACAGATGTGATCATATCATAGCAAGAGTGTCCGCTATTTAACTTAGCTTCCATTAAAATTACAACTTAAATTGATCTTGTGACGTGTATGGAAAACTTGTGTAGCCTCGGTGAAATTTTATTCTAACTGGTTTTAGGAAAAGATTTCGACGTGTAAAGCGAATGTATCGGCTAGCTTATTCAGCTTCCTCCAGACACTACAACTTAAAATGCGATTTATTCATAACAGTAGATCTTTACCTTGACATGACCCCCGAAAGTGTCTCTTTTATAACGTTCACATAACAAAGCTGCTTTAGGATCACCATTATCGTAACATTTTGGTTGTAGTTCGCCTTCTATTTTAATATTCCTTGTTAATAAAGCAACTTCTGCTCTTTCATCGACGCCATGAGTGATCTTACCATAATGGGGATACTGGAAAGCGCCTATAAACACATTCATGATTATCAAACAAACAAATGACTCAATGATGCGTTATGAAAGATTTAGATAAAAGCTGATTTTTCTTGATATATAAAAAGTAAGAATAAATTAATGTAAAATGAATATAGTTAAAATTTTATTCTGTGCGAAGTTATAATTGTTTGAAGTTTCCACAAAATATAATATACATAGTCTCGATTGTCAAGTACGTTTGCTATAATAAAAGACAATGTCTTGATTATCCATTTTATCATTAAATCATTAAATGGCGCAGGTGTTTCTAATCCATCCAAAATTTCGACCTTCCGATGGCCCAGAGAGTTGAATATGTGCTTGTCATGAGAATAAATGTCTACATAATAATTTAAATATATAACATTTGAAGCCAAAACAAAAACCGCCATAAAAGGCAAATTTATCTCTTGATGGTGTCTTTAAGAATTTTAGATGCTGCAAAACAAATTATTCTTGACTCACTTCAACGTATTGGATCATTTGTTATATAGAAATGTATTGCGTTATATTGAACAGTTTGGTCGCATTGATTGTCTAATAGAAATGCTAAACCATATTATTATTATAATAACTTTTGAGTTATATTCAATATAAGAGTGAACATACCGTCTAATTTAATTTGATTATTTGAACAATCTGGACAAACTAATATCTTAAACTGCTCCACTTGTCTCCAGTCAAAATCTGTTGATGTCACAATAATTTCATCGCCTGAAATCAAACATATAATAAGAAACCATTAGGCTCTTTAACTGCATTGGCAAATGTGAAATTTAGTGTGCGGTGTATCAATAATTAAAAAAATCACCTATAATGGTTTATTCTATAGACGTGTATGTTTTAAAGGACAATATTGGTGCCAGTCATTATCACATATGTGATAGAGCTGGTTAAACACATTCCAAATATAATTTTAACACAGAGACCATTGCTACGATAGCTGAGTAATACAGGTTTCCTGAATCGGAAGTGACGAACGCCAAAGGAAAACACGAGTCATCTCTCTATATCATCTCTCTATATAACTGACTGATGTGATGAGTGATAACGGATATACCGGCGAATTTCTGCTCACTAATAATTCCTTCGAAGACCAAAAGTTGTCGTCTTAGATTGTGAGAGGATATCTGACAATTCATAAAAGGAATTGACTGCCACTAGATAAGTGAACGCGAAAGAAAAACAGAAAAAGTCCGTGCATTACCATGTTTTTATAAGGTATAGAATGAATGTAAACAAGAGAATGTACGGACTATTTCTATTTTTGTCGTGTTCTCTTATCTAATGACATTCAATTACTTTAAAATCGGATAAAAATTGTGACCTCTATAGGGTCCACAACCTTGATATACCATATTTTTACGCTATTTGAGAACGAACGGCGGCCATTTTGTCTGTCAATTTTGGGTTGATTTTCACGAAATTCGAATTCAGTCGTCCGTAGGGTGTAACAGTGATATAATAATACAGTTTTTTAAATCGGATAAAAATTATGACCTCTATAGGGTCCACAAGCTAAAAACGCGATTTTTCGTACAATCAGGGGCAATAATTCAGGAAGTTACGGTCCGATATGCGCGAATATCGAAAGGAACCGTTGTCTTTGGGTTATAAACTTACATTTCAAGTTTCAACAAAATCGGATAAAAATTGTGACCTCTATAGGGTCCACAAGCTAAAAACGTGATTTTTCGTACAAACAGGGGCCATAATCCATGAATTTTCGATCCGATACATGCCATTATCGAAAGCAGTCGAGATCGTTTGGAGATAAACCTATATTTCAAGTTTCGTCAAAATCGGATAAGAATTGTGAACTCTAGAGTGTCCACAAACAAATTGTGGACGGACGGACGTCCGGACGGACAGGGGCGACGGCATAATACGTTTACATGAAAATGTGGGCGTATAAAAAAAAACATTTATACTGCCAACGGAAGTGTAAACTGACAATATCAAAATCCAATGGTATAATGAATAAATAATGACAAGTTAAATGTCGATGGAAATTGAGAATGTATTTATTATATGACAATAAGCGCAAACTAGAAATTCAAAACTACGAGTCCCTGATATAGTCATACGTTCAAAATTATTATGTTATGTTGATGACACTTAAAACTCATTAATATCTGGTTCTCATATCGATATCGTTCAATCTGATGTAGAGAAGGCCAAGAAGTTGCAGTCACGAATATTTAAGTTCTGTTAAAATCTACTATAGTATTACCTGGGTTCCAAGAAGATACATCATCTCGAACAGTTATTATTGGTTGAGAAACTTCAGTCGTCAGAACCTCAAAATCTACTTGGTTAATGTCAGGAACTGTGTTTTTGGCCTTAACTTGACTTCTAGTTCTAAATTCTAAAGCCTTTCCCTGGTGAACAAATTTTTGTATCGATGTTCTTGTAACATTCACATAAAATGGAGCATCGATATATTCTTCGGAAGTTGACGTAGCATCGCCTTTAAAAAAAAATAAAATTTGATTGTGAATCAACTTTGATAACAAAAGACGTTCATTCCGAGGACAAAACTTATTTAAGAAATCACAGTTATATCCCAGTTATTAAATCTGGTTAATATTGTGTGTTAAAGGCGCCCACCCTCATATAATTATACGAAGCTTTGTGATGCGTTTTCAAAAAATACCAACGTCTGTTGACCAAGGGTTGGAAGGTGACAGAGCAACATGCCTAGCAATCAACATGTCTCCACTTAAAGCTATCCGCTATACCCACCAGACGAGCGCAATATGAACTTCCCGCTATACTTTCTATTTTCGTTGTTTTCTAGTGGAGAAATGGAATTTTACCGTATATTCCCGTGTTTCAATTACTTATTAAATTATAAAAAAATGAATTATATTAATATATCATATTAAACTACGCCCAAAAAGAATATTTATAGAGCGGAGGTAATTAAATAACCATGTACAAAGAACACGTTTGTAGTGTATTATTGTACCTTTCGTAGTTATATACATTGTATTGACATTATGATACTTTGCACAGTTATAAACATTCGTATTATATTTACATAGTTATAAACATTTGTATTGTATTGACATTATGATACTTTCCACAGTTATAAACATGCGTATTATATTTACATAGTTGTAAACATTTGTATTGATAATAGTTATAAACATTTGTATTGTATTACCATTATGATACTTTCCACAGTTATAAACATTCGTATTATTTAAATTATAATTATAAACATTTGTATTGACATAATTATAAACATTTGTATTGTATTGACATAGTTAAAAACATTTCCATTATATTAGCATCATGATACCTTTCATTGTTATAAACGCGTATGCTTCTTTTCCATCGATGTTTCGTATTTGACTTGTGGTAGCGGCTAATCCACCAAGTTGCTCTATACTAGAATATACATCTTCCCAGTTCCTTCCTGGTACTTTAGTAACACCAAGATCACCATATACAGCAATAGCAACAATTAGTCCTGCATCAAGACCTGTTGATAATAAAATACAACAAACATAAAAATATGAATATCTGTGATATACAATAAAATCAGTATGCTATGACGCTCTTATATCAAATTCCAACTGTCAAGTATTCTTTTACGTGCACGTTAATTTGTACACGGCACCTCGGGTTTCCGTACAATCCGAACGACTAGTTAGCTGTTCTTGTCATGCAGGCTCTCCTTCCTGAATAACTGAGACAGGGAAATCACAGAGGAAAATCCTAGGAACTTTCGATATAAATATTAGAGTTTTGTGCCTCAACGAGATCTTGTTCATTATGCAAAATAATCCGTCACCACGCCCCTGGTAATAAATATAAGTAAGACCTACTCTCAACATAATCCTTGAAATCTGTTTCAACCCCAGATTTACCACTGTCAGAAAGTGGATACACATTGAAATCATTTAATGAACCATCAATATTCCAAACAGTTACGTGAAGGCCAAAGGCACTCGATTTCGCATATCTTTGTTCCTGAAAATGGTTAAATTGGAATATCATAAAATAAAAAAAAATCTGTTTGAAATTTGAAACAAAATGTGGTGCATCAGGAATCCAGTTAATGCATCAGAAGATCGATTTTTATTATCATTTATTACAATCTGGTTATATAAGTATTCATTGAAAATTGTTATATTGTAAAGGTTGCTTAAGGTGAAATTAATCGTTCGTCACACCTCCACGCTGTAAACAACTCCACAAGTTAGAGATGCAGCCGGAACACTTTGAATCAACTTCGTCCATGCTTTCTTCTTTGCTCCGTGAATTTCCAAAGTCGCACCTGCAGTAACACCAATAAATTTCCTTCCAAATCCAGCAACACTGTGAGGACTGTTTGCTTTTCCTGAAATAGACAATATAACATCAACGTTAAAACTGAAAAAATAAATGTTTGCGATATCACTACCATTAAAGACAATGTTAAACCACCAGTAACTAGACCAAGGGCCATAATCCAGGAAGTTACGTTTGTATATGTGTGATTATCAAAGGGAACAAAGACTTTTATGATAAAAATATATAATTAAAGTTATATCCAAATCGGATAAAAACTGTGGCCTCTAGAGAGTCCACAACCTTGATATACCATATTTTTACATTATTTGCGTACAAGGGGCGGCCATTATGTCCGTCAGTTTTTGTCTGATTTTCACAAAATTCGACCTCAACCATCATTAGTGTATAACTGTGATATATTCACACATTTTTTTTTAAATCGGATAAAAATTGTGACCTCTACAGGGCCCACAAGCTAAAAGTGCGATTTTTCGTACAATCAGGTGTCATAATATGCACGAATATCGAAAACAACCAAGATCTTTGGGTTCTAAACATGCATTTCAAGTTTCATCAAAATCAGATGAAAATTTTGACCTCTAGAGTGCCCACAAGCTAAAAACGTGGGTTTTCGTACAATCAGGGGTCATAATCCATGAAGTTATGGTCCGATACATGCCAATATATAATGGAACCGAATTGTGAACGGAAAAACAGGGTCGACGGCATAATACGTCCAAATGAAAATGTGGGCGTATAAAAATAAAATGAAATGAAGTTTAACGTTCTACTCCGACTGGGTTAATGAAGATGGAAATTTTTATATTAAATTCCAATGGATCTTTTACGTGCACACCAATGCTTACACGGACACCGCGCTTTTTCGTCCTATCCGAACGACTATACGTTGTCCCTTACCAGGCCCTCTGTTCCGCCGACGCGGGGATCGAACAAGTATCGGGGCTTACATTGTTGTTACAAAATGAAATGAAACAGGGCGGGTGTAACGTCCTACTTTTCTGCACCAAGCGATCAGATTAAGAAGTTTAAATGCCACGGAGGTGACATGCTGGAAATCATGCAGGGACAGCGGTGTTTCGGTCGTCTCTTTGTCGAAATCCACCTCTGATGTAACGGGCACAAAAACGTGTACACATGCCCTCGTTCTTTAGTCCCATTCCAACAACTACACGGCGTTAATATTGAAAATTGTAAAGACGATGTGCAATATTAGTTTTTTGTTGTTTTTCATTTTTAAATTGTGTTTTGTTTTAAGTGGATTATATAAAACTATTCTTACTGAATTTGTACATTATTATAATAAATAAAAATTTGAAGTAAATATATTTAAAACTAAAATTGTTATTTTTAGAACAAGAGAAATCACAAATCATGACTTTCATTTAAAGAACGAAATGTTAGAAATAATCGATGAATGCAAATACCTTAGAATGAATTGTTCCAAAAGGTTGTAACATAGTATATAATGAAAGTGTTTTAAAAGCAATGTATCTTTTAAATTCTAGAATATTCAATCTTGATTAATCTATTGATTGCCCATTAAAATCGTTTGATCAGACTATAATAATAATTTTACTATTCCGATGTGACATTTGGGAAAATGCTATCTGATATTGATTCTGTACATAATAAATTTCTACAACAAATTCTTAATTAGTCCATTGATTTATTTGGACCATTTTCTTTATCAGTATTGTTTTATTAAATACAGGATGATTACGTTTTGGTGAAGACTTTAAACTTAAAGATGTGAAACTGTTAAATTTTTATTGAAAATACCCTGAATGAATATGTTTGTAGTTATATTTGGCATTCAAGCGGTGTTGCAACTGTTACTAGTTTTTAAGGATAAGTTCTCCGAAAATTAATTTTGGCACCCTAGTATTCATTGGTCTAGCAAATCAATTACTTATAGAACCATATAAGAATATTCAACCGTACCTTATTTAAATTTACAAAAGAAATGAAATGGGATTGAACGTCCTAGTATTCTGAAAGAAATTTGCCCGGGCAGCGGCACTATGCTCGCCAATGTGTACATGGGACCTCGCTTTTTCGACAACTAGACAAGGCGAAACCACGTGGAAAAATCCCGATGAACATTCTCGGCCAATGCAAGGATCGAACACGCGACCTACAGGCTAGAGAATCAGCGTCTTACCCATTTAGCCACAGTGGCTCACCAGTTCACAAAAGAAATATAAAATAAGTTTTACTAAATATAAAGATTGTACAGTGATAAACATCAATATTTATTTAATTGTAAACATTTTATCATATATAGACATATATAACTCCTGTTACCAGAATATTATCATTGCAAACCCAAAATTTAAAGTTTCTAATCTATGATTTATGTAAAAAAAACTTTACTTAATCATGTTTGTAAATTGATATATGTAATTATGGATTTATTCCTTGGGCTTAATAAACACCTCACCCCCGGCAATATTTTGTCATATTTGGTTAAATGTGTTTTGTTAACTCATGTCATGTACATGACCAGAGATTTGCAAATAAATTTCAGGTAAATTAAGTTTCGTAACTTTGCCTCGTTTATGAAATACGGACCCTGTTATTCAAACAGTAATATCTCGACCGCTCCCGTTTCCATTTTATCATTTAAGGAATAACAAAATGTAGTTACAATAATTATGATATTTAATCAACTGAATTTTCAAAATTATCTTACCTGTCAAGAAGATATGGGCATCTTTTGTGAACGGGCAATCATTTGAACCGATATGAAACTCCCCATTAACCAAAATATAGCTAACTGTTAACTTGGTGCCATTCACATTTCCCCAAATCAATGCGGCATCACTGGAGATTACAATAGTGGCTAAATCTGGAGGAGTAACATCTAGTAAAACCTTCTTTCCAGATATTACAACCTTACTGTTAATACCAGGAACAGTTCCACCCCATGTATTTACATCACTCCAGGATTCAAGGCCAGCCTCCTCCCATGGGCAGAGAGCTGCCACGCATTCCAGTACACTAACGACGACCACAGACCACAGCATCGTTTAAGAAGCTAATATACTTCAACTGATAAATCCAATGCCTTTATAGACAACTGCAGGTGTTGTTGATTCGGGTGACTCAGTTTAAAGGGACAATGTTGCTGTCCACAGAGTTTACATAATATGTGATAGAATAGGTAAAATCATTCCTGGCCAAGAAAGTTCATCCAGATTTTCCGGCGTGGTTCTCCCTTGTCAGTGATGCAGGACGGAGGGGCTGACAAGGAAAGCTGTCTAGTCGTTCGGAGGGGACGAAAAACAGAGGTCCCGTGTACACATTGGCGTGCACGTAAAAGATCCCTTGGCAGTTGGAATTCGATATAAGAGTAGGCGGTAGTGCCGCTGTCCGGGCAAAATTTCCCTCATAGCACACTGTATGGCGTATGCCCGTCTTCATTAGCCCAGGTTAGGAGCAGAACAGTAGGACGTTAAACTCCATTTCATTTCATTTCATTTAAAATCATTCCAATAATGACTTCAAATATGATAGTTAATGTAACTACAATTTGTTATTCCTTACATGATAAAATGGAAACGGGAACGGTCGAGATATTACTGTTTGAATAACAGGGTCCATATTTCATAAACGAGGCAAAGTTACGAAACTTAAATTACCTGAAATTTATTTGCAAATCTCTGGACATGTACATCACATGGCTTAACAAAACACGTTATTTGTTGATAAAGGCCACGGTTGTAGTTTACTAATTGTTGTCGGGTGAAGTGAAATGTTCGATGTGGATGTGGTGCATGTGCCTTACAATAATCGCTGGCAAAAGTCATAACAATCTGATTAAAACACAGATCCTATTTCGTTTCGTTTTTTACAGTTCAAAATTTTGTATTACTTGTTTTTACTACACTAGGATCTGAAAGAGTTGTTATATAATCTGCGTTCTCGATGATTTGAGGGATTAGCCAATGAAACTGTCTGTTACGGTGCGTTTTGGGGGGTAAGGTGCACGGAACTTTCGGTAAAGCACTAAAAACGCCAACGCTGATTGATTAATCAATGTCTGCCGTCATAAGGTCAAAAGCCGCTCGAATGACACCTGACGTGACCATCCATTACAACTGGTCAGATCTTCATGCAGTTTTGGCCATCTAAAGTATAAAAAAACGAAACGAAATATAGATCTGTATTTTAATCAGACTGAAGTCATTATTATGGTTTACAGGAATGATGTCACGGACAAAACAACCTATTGGGGATGGGGGGACAATGACCTTTAGGTTGTTGAATACTAAATAATATTTGGCAAAAGATCCCGCCGAAGTTCACTCGCTTTAAATGTATTATTACGGTACATTATGTAAAATACATATAATATGTTTATATCATTTAATAATATAATCCACTGAGTTTTTACTGGCAGTTTTAATAACTGTATTAATAAAACGTAAAAAGTACATCATGTGAAATACATATATATTTATATCATTTAATATCATTCACTGGGTTTTTACTGGCAGTTTTAATAACTGTATTAATAACTGTATTAATAAAACGTAAAAAGTAATGATTCACTTATATTTATAATATATATATATATATATTAAATTCTGATTTATTTATTTCATTTAATGTGTTTTTGTACGTAATTAAG